CAAAAATGTATATGCTAAATCAGGCCATGCACTGGTGGTTCATGCCTGTAATCCTGGCTACTCAGGAGGCTGACCTCTGAAGACTGCAGCCTTGAAGCCAGATGGGACAGGAAAAACCTATGAGAGTCTTACTTTTAATTAACCATCAAAAAGCCAGAAAGTGGAGCTGTGAGAGCACCAGCCTTGAGTGGAAAAATCTAAAGGATAATGCCAAGGCTCTGAGATAAGGCCCGATTTAAAAAAATACAAAAAACCCACAAAAGAATAATGAACAAAATTAAAAAATATTGCCGGATTTGAATTTTTCCTTTAGTAAGAACTAAAACCATCCCATCCTAAACATTCATCTATAGATTCTCACCATTCAACTCAATATTGCCTTCTGTTACTGTTGTCCTGATTACCTGTGAGAGGCTGGGTCTTGTCTTTGCCTGTGAAGACTGGTGGTGTAAATGCAGGTCCGAGGACAGTCCTGTCTTCTGGTTTGGGTGCAGGTGGTATGATTTCAGCTTTGGGTGAAGGAGGCAAAATGGCTCCTGTCTGCTTCTCCAAATAGTTGAGAATATCTTCTTTAAGTATTCTGCCATCTTTTCCCGAGCCAACAACTTCACTCAACTTGATCTAAACAGATGACACATGTTCCTGCTATTATCAAAGTTTAAACATGGATTCTAATCACTTCTACAGCTCTACCTTTGCCAAACAAATTAAAGGAAATACAGGGTTTGAACTCAGGGCTTCATGCTAGTCAAGTGCTCTATGGTGAAACCATGCTTCCGCCCACCACCCCTTTTGACATTGGTTATTTTGAGATAGGGCCTCATTTTTTTGCCCAGATCTGTGCTTGAATTACCATCTGCCTGTTTTATGCTTCGCATTGTAGCTGAGGTCATGGGTCCTGATTCTTCTGCTCAGCTGGCCCTTGGCTACTATTTATATCTCTTAGACAGTGATATATTAACTTACTACTTCATTTGATGATCTGACTAGCCTAGTTTTCATATTATGGGTTGCCTTCATATTTGAACACAATCATAAAATTTCATTAAAAGTAGGCCTGCGTGTGATGTTGCATACTAATAATATAAGCACCTGGAAGGCCAGCCTATGATAGGTAAGCAAGATCCTATCTCAAGAAACAACATCAAGGGCTGGGAAGGTGGCTCAGTGGTAGAGTGCTTGCCTTGCATGCATGAGGCCCTGGGTTCAATTCCTCAGCACCACATAAGCAAAAAGAAAA